TTAGGACTTTAAGCTGGTCCAAACATCCCGTTTTCTCTCTCCTTTGGCTCATCCAAACACACTTCCACTAGTTTTAGGATAAATCTGCCTATATTAAAGAGGAAGAGTGAGCGTCCCGTGTCTTCATGCACCCCTGATCATGCGGATGACAGGCCTGTGGCGCTGGAACGGGCAAGAGTTTGAGTGAGTGTAATGGAAACCCGCAGACAGGCCAGTCATATTCAGACAAGCCCTGCGAAACATGCGGCTTACACTAAATACAGCGGCGAGTCAAAGGTGAGGATCTGGAGACAGCAGTGAGGGCCAAACACCACGCTTCACTGACCCACTGTCTCCGACATGCAGAGCGCAGTCCGAGCTTTACAGCACACCATTACCCATTCATCACGGCTTAAGAAGTGTCCTGACTGAGAACAGCAGCTGCCAGTCAAACGGGCCTGAACACGCATCACAGCGCCACAGAACCGCAGCCAATCAGAACGTGCCGGATCCTTCAATACAGTCCTGAAAGAGAGTCAACGTGCGTTTTCAAATTTGTGAGTAAAAACATTGTGACTTTTGTGGACTGTGATTACCTTGAAATACCTTGAAAATGTGAATTTTGATCTGTTTTAAAAGTAGAAGACATTAACTGCTTTAAAAATGTTGCTACGACTTGAACTTTACTTAAAGCAAAGCAGACTTTGAATGGAAAACAGAATATAGTATATGTACACTAGATTTGGTTGCAAAACGATGTCTGCCCTTGTGAAAAAGACATTTAGCATACTTTTAAAAAGAGTACTCGTTACATAAAAAATATAGCTACTTTAAAGAGTATACTGAATTGGAAACTGATTATGTTTTCAGACACTTAATTGCATGTTAATAGTTTTAAATTATATTAAATGCAATTAGCCAAACTTTATTTTTTTTTACCCATTTAAAGTAGGACTTCATTTCAATGTTATATGTAATTTCATTATTACTTCTATTGTCTTTGAAATATAGTAAAAGTGAACAGCAGAATAAGCATTCATGGTAAACTAAAATATACTTCTACTGAACATTATATGTCAGGTATTTAAATATATAATTACACATTTGCAAAGATGAAGTTACAATTTAGCACATTTAAAATGGAATAATGTTAAATGATGAATTACATATGCTAGAGTCAAAGTTATAATCAAGTGCTTCACATGTGCTTTAGTATGTTAGTCGACACATGCTACTTTAAAGCACTGCAAACGATTATTAAACAATGTTTTAAAATGCACTTGACCTTTTTTTAAGGTTTGCCTCAAAGTAAAACTCCCTGCAACAATCTCTGAATGTTATTTTATGGTTTTAAAATAAATAAATACAATCTAATAAAAGAATGTCCCTAGAACATTATTATGTGGTTACCAAAAAAAACCAAATACCAGATGTCAGTGACCTGAGAAGGTTGCTTAACTAGTTAACTTCTTTAAATTGTGCTTGAAACTGTAGCTGAAACGTCCCTGATCGCAACAGCATCGCTTCTGCCGCGTCACAGAGCATAACGCGCCCGGTTGATCATAATGCAGTGCAAGGTGTCCTCTAAGAGACACGGTTAAAGTGATATTTGTGTGATTCGTTTAGTATCTGCCAGTGGTAAGTGGCCTTTGCGGGCTCAGGTTATCCATGTCAGCAGAATGACACTTCCCTCTTGTCCTAACACGTCTAATTGAGGAGCGGCCCTGTATCATTTCCCAGAGTCCTCAGCGGTGATTTGACAGATGGGCCGAGAGGGTAAAAAGCGGGCCACCCCCCCGCCTGTCAGCTGTCAAAGGCCCGTCACATGACAACACGACCCGCCCCACATCTCCCTCTGAATGGCTAATGAGACCCCGTGGGACACCTTTTCTTGTCCTCTTTTCAGGTGCAGGGTCATTTGCATGACAGTGGCGAGAGGGAACGAGTGAACGAGAGAGCAGTGCTCAGTATCGACCTGAGATATTGATCAAGTCATGTGCTGGACTAATGATGCTCCTGCACTGAACACATGAACCCGCTCAGAGAGATCATTACCCAGCAGAGAACAACCGACACTGATGTACAGCAGCTCAACCTTACTGAGAGATCCGTCAAACCCACAAAAACATCGGACAGGATATTTCTGGAGAAAGAGATCCATTACGTGTCATTGGTAGCCTAGGACGGGTTAGCTTGTTAGCTGTTGACTTTCTCAGTACCTTCCTTGTCTTAATGTACACTCACCTAAAGGATTATTAGGAACACCTGGTCAATTTCTCATTAATGCAATTATCTAATCAACCAATCACATGGCAGTTGCTTCAATGCATTTAGGGGTGTGGTCCTGGTCAAGACAATCTCCTGAACTCCAAACTGAATGTCAGAATGGGAAAGAAAGGTGATTTAAGCAATTTTGAGCGTGGCATGGTTGTTGGTGCCAGACGGGCCGGTCTGAGTATTTCACAATCTGCTCAGTTACTGGGATTTTCACGCACAACCATTTCCAGGGTTTACAAAGAATGGTGTGAAAAGGGAAAAACATCCAGTATGCGGCAGTCCTGTGGGCGACAATGCCTTGTTGATGCTAGAGGTCAGAGGAGAATGGGCCGACTGATTCAAGCTGATAGAAGAGCAACTTTGACTGAAATAAGCACTCGTTACAACCGAGGTATGCAGTAAAGCATTTGTGAAGCCACAACACGCACAACCTTGAGGCGGATGGGCTACAACAGCAGAAGACTCCACCGGGTACCACTCATCTCCACTACAAATAGGAAAAAGAGGCTACAATTTGCAAGAGCTCACCAAAATTGGACAATTGAAGACTGGAAAAATGTTGCCTGGTCTGATGAGTCTCGATTTCTGTTGAGACATTCAGATGGTAGAGTCAGAATTTGGCGTAAACAGAATGAGAACATGGATCCATCATGCCTTGTTACCACTGTGCAGGCTGGTGGTGGTGGTGTAATGGTGTGGGGGATGTTTTCCTGGCACACTTTAGGCCCCTTAGTGCCAATTGGGCATCGTTTAAATGCCACGGCCTACCTGAGCATTGTTTCTGACCATGTCCATCCCTTTATGGCCACCATGTACCCATCCTCTGATGGCTACTTCCAGCAGGATAATGCACCATGTCACAAAGCTCGAATCATTTCAAATTGGTTTCTTGAACATGACAATACTAAAATGGCCCCCACAGTCACCAGATCTCAACCCAATAGAGCATCTTTGGGATGTGGTGGAACTGGAGTTTCGTGCCCTGGATGTGCATCCCACAAATCTCCATCAACTGCAAGATGCTGTCCTATCAATATGGGCCAACATTTCTAAAGAATGCTTTCAGCACCTTGTTGAATCAATGCCACGTAGAATTAAGGCAGTTCTGAAGGCGAAAGGGGGTCAAACACAGTATTAGTATGGTGTACCTAATAATCCTTTAGGTGAGTGTATATGATCCATCAGTGCATGAGATATACATATTATTATCATAATTTTAGCTGATATCTATGGAAGCTTGTTTACGCCATAGAATAAAAAAATAAAAAATAAATAATTGCCAATTTTAATCTCACAAATCTTTTATCTCAGAATTGTTATAAAGTTTTAAAAATTGCAAGATATAAACTCACAATTCTGAGAAATAAAGTAATTTGCGAGACGTAAATTGTAATTGTGAGATAAAAAGTCACAATTATCTTTTAAAATGTTTTATTCTGTGGCGGAAAAAAGCTTCCATAGATATCAGCTAGCCCATGCTAGGCTACTTAATAATGCTAACCAAATAGTTATTAGGGGTCAAAAGTAAGACTGGTTAAGACTGTTAGCACCATGCTCTAGTCTAAATAATGCAGGTTACGTACTTTTGAGACTATATGCACCGGCCGAGCAACTACTATCGCGATAAATGCTAATGCTAATGGCTACATAGCTCACTGCAGGTATTTTTGATTTCATTGCTTTTCTCAAACCCTCAAAACTGATAATTCTGTCATCATTTACTCCCCCTTACATCATTTCAAACCTTTATGACTGTGTGAAACGCGAAAAGAAGACATTTTGAAAAACGTCTCATGTCCATACAATGAAAGTCAGTGATGAAGTTCAATGTTGTTTGGACCCCAACGTTCTTCATAATATCTTACTTTGTGTTCGGCATAAGAAAGGGTGGAATACAGGTTGGGAACGACATGAAGATGAGTAAATAATGACAGGATTTTCATTTTAAAGTCTACCTTCATTCTGGGATGAAACACTTGTCACCAACTCACCATCCAATCAATTTCCAATAGATTGAATAAAGCACATTATGAAAGTTGAATGGTTTGTAAACGCAGTATTTTTTCAACATTTAGAAAACTTAGGTGTAAAAATAACATGAAATAACATTGAAACTCTAATAACATCACTCTGTAATGTTCATAAATATAAAACATTTACAAATATCGGTTTAGAAGACTGTCTACTTACAGCACATTCAAAATAAAGCATCTATATCTATACAAAATATAGTATAATCTGAATTGTACTCAGACCTATAAAGAATTATCAAAAGATCTGCAGTGAAGATCACAGTAACATTTCACACACACACACACACCAAAACAGAAGGAGTGTCTGCGCGAGCGCCACAGCTCGGCACGCGTGAAAATGTGCATTAGCATTTTAAAGAGCTTGATTTAATCCCATTAAATCCAGTTAGATTTCATTTCGCACCTTCAATAAAATATCGCCGCCTGCCACGGCGCTGCCTAATGAGGCTTAACAGCCTTTTCATTAAGCAAAGTTATTAAAGATCTAAACATCAGCGCTCCATCAAACGCAACACTGGAGGCCATAAAGAGAAACATTAGGATATGATTTCACACCGTAAGCGATCAAAGCCTCACATAAAGGACTGTTGGTTCCCATATGCTGCCACCGTCTGTAGCGTTTAAAGCTAAACCGCCCCATGCATTGCACTTAACTTCCTTTGGGTGAATGGTTTAAGAAACATTTAATATTGTGGACTGAAAAGCAGTAAATCATTGGTTTGGGTGAATTAAGCGAGTGTAGTCAGAGGACGATCCCGCTCTGGGTCTTTCATGATGGACGTCAGAGCCTCCAGAGCTTCAACGGTCACCACGAGCTGGCCAATGACGTCCCTGCTGTCCTGCACGTCCACGACTACAGGAGAGAGACAGCGATCACGGTCAGCAAGGGGCACTTTACACACATAGGGCACAAGTCGTTGTCTCATCATACAAGGCAGAAACCATGTTATTTAGAGAAAGAACTATTACATGTGTTAGATAAACTAATATTACACATAAAATAAACATTTAAACGCGTATATTTTTGGCTTGGTCTTGATAACAAGTACTATCATACAATAATAATTCTGACAATCTGTTTGATTGATATTCAATTAATTGTAGAGAATAATTCATTACAATCAAAAATTCTAAATGTGCACTCCACCCTGTTGCTAATTAAAATATATATATATATATACATTAAAAATTCTGCCACCCTGGAAGTGACATAATTTGGATCCTTTCTATAGATTGGTAGAAAGACATGGAAATAACTGCATTAGGCCTACATATTTTTTTCTACACAAATTGCATTCATCAAGCTCAGCCATTCAACCCGGTTGCTAAAGTTTTATTAACAAAATAAATTATAATAATATTAAAAGTAATAATAATAATTATATATATATATATATATGGGAAATATAAGTTTCCATTTAAACCAATTTTTTACAAACCAAAATTTCATCCAAAAATAGCTAATCCCTGTTACTTGCACACCTATAACATTATGGCATGCTTTTCATCTTATACATTTTATTATCTTTTTCATGTGTATCTAATGTTTATGGCTATAAATAAAAATTAAATAAAAAATAAACTGTGTCCCAAGATCTGGTAACAGGGTTGAGATAAAAGGCAAACCTCATATAAAATCAATCCAAAATAAACCAAATCATGTAATATATAAAATATGAGCTTCTGAGTTGGACGAACAACCGAGGTTCAGAGGTTAAACATCTTTCCTCGATACTTTCTTGTAAAAAGAGAGTTTCAGGTCTTATTTAAAAACCGGTATGTGGAAATTTACCAAAAAATGCCCCAAGATCTGAGATAAAAGTGAAAGTCTTACCGCTCAGGCTCACGTCCTTCATGTCTCTGCGTTTGTCCATGACATCGCGGATTCGCAGGTAGGCCACGCCCACATCCTCACACTCCTCCTCCTGCTCTTCCTCTTCAGGAGGGTCACTCACCACCGTGAACTTTATGCTGTCACAGACCATGAACAGTTACTTGCTGATTAAAGCGGTGTAGTTAGTATAAGGCAGGGGTATTCAACTGAAGTCTCTAGATTCTCTCACTCCTCTCACTCCTCCCAGTGGACATTGGACAACACTGTTTTTGGAGTGGTTATACATTTCCATGGGGGCAGCCGTAGTACTTTGTAAAAGAAAAAATCCTAAACACTCAAATAGTCATCAAAGATGAGAATCCTGGGCCCCGAGAGCTAAAGCAGTGAAGTCTGATCGTTTTTACCAATATCTACCAAAAAAGTAAATATTTTTCCCAACAGTATATGAATATAAAAAGGTAAGATCAGATGTTTATCAGGCTATTATTATTATTATTCTATAGATACCTATGCGTATGGCACATAGAAGGCCTTGGAACTGTATAAGGACCATTTTTATAGTTTGCTATGTACAATGTACATAACCTAATAATCAAAACTCTCATCATGAGCATAAAACAAAGTTAACTAGTAATTTCAAAGATTTTTTACTTCCCTTGCCATAAACAGTTTTCCAAATAATAACATTGTTTATGATGAAATGCTCTTAATATGCTGCTTAACAAAGCTGATTTTAGAGGTTTGTGTATAATATCACGCTACGAGGAGTGAATGTGCAGAATATTTTTCCTGTTCTTCTGAGAATTCGTTATTGATTGTGAAGCCATTATCCGTGCCTTTCTGAATAAGGTATTCGGCTTCGGGCACATCCCTAGTATTCGCAACAACAATGTACTCTCCACAACAAAAGCATGCGATCACACTAGAGAAAGAGATTATAGATGTGCAAGTGTCTCACTGCTCTAGTTGTTTGTTCCGGCCCTCCAGCACTGCTCTCAGAGACTGCCGTCTGGCTTGGTTATGCTCCATATCCACATGGATCACTGTCAGAACAACGATCATTTTGTTATATTGATGATTTACTATTACAAGACAATGCCAAATAAACATAATTTGTATAATAATAAAGCTACAGGAACCAGTTATGTACCCAATATGGTTGTGGAAGCACAATGTTAGCCACTATAAGTTTAGGACACTTGGTCCAACACTTATGAGCAAATGAATCCCTATTTTACAACTTTTGACCACTACGAGAAGCTGGTGTGTATGGAAGATTTTTTCCGCCACAAAATAAAAAATTGAAAAAAAAAAGAGCTTTTTTTTTTCTCCTCACAATTGTGAATAACATGACGCAATCCTGAATTCAGAATTGTGAGATAAAAGGTCGAAATTACCTTTTTATTCTTTATCCAGTGGTGGAAACAAGCTTCCATAGTTCTGGAAGGTCATTCCATCAAAGTTTATTTCATTAATTTGTTACAGGTCAATAGAGGTCTGCATTATTGCGGGACCCAACTTGTGCCAGGCATGATCATCTGATGAAAATATGGTGAATTTTTGAAGAGTATTAAACAGTATAAAATTCAAAATAGTGGGTAGTTAATATGGTTGATAAATGGGTATAACTGTTCTTTGGTTACCCAATGAATCTAAATGGAGCAGAGGCATGACTTTAGATCAAGATACTCAAGGTATCTAGTTGGGCAGAAACTGAAACCACTCCGTTTATTAAACTTGGTGTTAAACCCCAGGAATTGTAGGAAATGTATGTTCCTCCAGGGAAACCAATAGTACACATGTTAGGCCCCATCCACACTACTGGGTTTTAGTTTAGAAACGGATAATTAAAACGAATACGATCTCCGTCCACACCAGCGTTTTAGCTGCGTATTAGAATTGATCTCCGTCCACATTAAAACGACTGAAAACGCGGATCACGTGACCCTTCACCAACACTGGGCATGCGCGCGCTGGTGTAAACACAACTTCATTGATAAAATGATCCCACCATGCTCTGGGTTAACCCCAAACCGACGCTCCATGTACGGTCAACGCCGCCGCTGCACACGGGAATTGTCACAGATCGCTCGAATAATAGCTTGACTCCGGCGCATGTAGGCAGTTATAGCGTTGTAAAATGCCGAATTGACTTGTACAACAGCTGCTAGCAAAGATATACGCCATGACGGATGACACCCAATCATAGAGCCGAGCGTGAGCCTCTACTACGTCATCGTTTCTAAAGTCCTCCGTTTTGACCCGTCTACACTAAAACGCCCTCCGGAGATTCAAAACGAAAAACGGGTTGGCAGCGTTTCTAAACTTCTCCGTTTTGGGTCTCCGTTTTTGCCGTTTTAGTGTGGACGGGAGGTGCAAACGTAGCAAAAGGTCTCCGTTTTTAAACGAAAACGCAGTAGTGTGGACGGGGCCTAATGTCTTCCTTATATATCCCATCTATTTGAAGCTCTGAAGTTAAATCAGGTGCATTTCATTAGGAAGAGAAAAGAGAATAATGTACTGTGGAAATATGTACTGTTGGTGTGCCTCCAAGAAACCTATTCTAGGCTTTGTTTACATTAATCCAGATACATTTTCGTTTCAAAATGCTCTCCATCCACACTATGGTTTCCAAGCAGTTTAATAAGTGCTCACTGAGATGATACCGATAGACCAGTCTCAGAGTTCTCACCCTATTCTTCTGGCATGATCATTTTATTAGCAAAATATCTCACCACTTACTTCCTAGTGCGTCCAGATCTCACTCAATCCCCATTCCACATATGGTCTAACACGCAACCCTCATGTTTTTCTGCAGGACAGCAATTCAAGTCAATTTTCCACAATGTAATATGAAGTAACATTTATCTTTAGCAACACTGGGAAAGTGAATAGCACATAGAAGACACATTCCGATATGGTAAACAGGATTTCAACAAGTACACCATTTCAATCAACCAATCAGATTTTAGGTACAAGTTTACGGTTTCTGTCAAGTTTGGGCTTAAAACCAGGGTTTGTGCTTCTACATCAGTGTCATTTCCCTCTGATTTTAGGGGAAAGATACGGATAGGGTTAGGTCCAAATTTTCAGACAGAAATGTTGTTCCAGTATCAACGAAATATGTTGTCTTACTTGGCAATATCACGGTGACCGGGTACAATATGCATCACATGTCTACAATATGCGTTATTGTCTTCAAATATCTCCATTTTCAATGTCCACACTATAACGCAAAAACACAGTTTTAAATGTATATACGTGGAAGAGCATCTGCAAAAAGAAAAATACCCTCAGTGCCAAAACAGAGAAAAAGATGCATTTTCAAATATATCTGGATTACTGCAGACTTCGCCCTAAAGTGTAACTTTAAACTTATGGTGGCTCTAGGAGGTTTGAGGTGTAGAACCCTAAATTGGTCAGAAGAAAGTTTAGATATGTCTTAATTAATGCACCAATTTTCACAATATTTCCCCATACGGTTTAAGAAACTGCCATAGACAGAGAGCAGAAAAAAGTAGAATAAACACAACGGCTGGTATTGCTATATATGCTGTTCACCATTGCTGAAGTTGTAGGAGAGACAGTGTCCAGGCAGGGGCTTCTTTAGGGACAGCGGGGTCTCGACTGACGGCAGGCCCAGGAAACAGTACTCCACAAACAGCCGGACGATCCCACTGTCTTCTGCCACTCTCGAGCCTGGCTTCAGACTCAGAGAAACGATCTCCACACGAATGCACTCGGACGGCTGGTGGAGCAGAGCATCACATGACCTTATCACAACTGACATTCAACCTCACGCCAACTGACATGGTGAGACTCGCTCTGAATCTTCAGGGACTCAATCACTCTCAACATCTGACAGAACATCCACCAAGAATATTCCACCGTTTGCAATGATGGACACTGGACAAACTACATCTCTTTCCTGATGTGGACGTGTAACCTGCAGGGCATAGTTCTCTGATAATGATGCGGGCTGGAGAAGACGTGTTGTCTATCTGCGATCATTTGATCCGATCTGTCAAACATGCTGTCCACATTAATGGAGTTTTTAGCAGTCATTAGATCTCTGTTCCTCTCACTCCTCTTAGGACACAAAGTGAGCTAGCATTAAGCTAACCGTTTAAATCCTTGACTTTACATCACCCTTTTCACAAGAGTGAACTGTGCTTACACCGGCTAAATTCACCACTAAAACGTGTTCATTTAAAACCACACTTCATCAGCAAGGAATGAAAAACACAATATCCTCCTAAGACCCAGCAATTCATTTCTGTCCTGTGTTGAGGATGTGCATTTCTCTGAGACGATACACAACATCTTTTTGTCAGCGATACCAAATATTTTGGTATTTTGTCTATAACAATTTTAAACACGCTTTAGATTAGGGTCCAATTCTCCTCATTAACTATTAAAGGATTAGTTCACTTCAGAATTAAAATTTCCTGATAATTTATTCTCCCCACGTCATCCAAGATGTTCATGACTTTCTTTCTTCAGGCAGAAAGAAATGAAGGTTTTTGAGGAAAACGTTCCAGGATGTTTCTCCATATAGTGACTTCAATGGGGTCCAACGGGTCGAAGGTCCAGATGTGAGTTTCAGTGCAGCTTCAAAGTCTCGACACGATCCCAGACGAGGAATAAGAGTCTTATCTAGACAAACATCCGCCATTTTCTAAAAGAAATAAACATTTATATACTTTAACCACTAATGCTCGTCTTGCACTAGCTCTGCGATGCGCCACAGAAAGGTCTCGCCTGACGTTAGGCGGAAGTCCCGACCGAGTGTTTACAAAGCGAACGTGCAAAGACTAAGTCAAACACCATTTACAAAAATAAAATAAAAATACAAGGTGAAACAACGAATTTGGACGATTTTGAAGTTGTTGGCGAGAATGAGATGGAGTTTTTCACCCTACCCTACATCTTCCTCCTACTTTCCAACGTGATTACGTAATGCGTGAAGTCGTGGACGAGCATTTGTGGTTAAAAAGTATATAATTTTTTTTTTTTTTTTGGTTTGTCTAGATAAGCCTCTTATTCCTCGTCTGGGATCGTGTCGAGACTTTGAAGCTGCACTGAAACTCACATCTGGACCTTCGACCCGTTGGACCCCATTGAAGTCACTATATGGAGAAACATCCTGGAACGTTTTCCTCAAAAACCTTCATTTCTTTCTGCCTGAAGAAAGAAAGTCATGAACATCTTGGATGACGTGGGGAGAATAAATTATCAGGAAATTTTAATTCTGAAGTGAACTAATCCTTTAACCATGACTTTTGCCTCAATAAACTCCTAATTACTGTTTATTAATAGTTAATAAGGTAGTTGTTAAGTTTAGGTATTAGGAATGTAGAATAAAGTCATGCAGAATAAGGCATTAATATGTGTTTTATAGGTACTAATAAACTGCCAATATCCTAGTAAAGTGCATGATATATGGAACACCTGGTTGGTTTGTTGAACGTGAAGGGACATGCCTGTTTTTTCTGCTGTGTGCTCTGAGCAGGAACTATGCAGTCATCGCTATCCTCCTCTTCATCCTCTTCATCCTCACCCTGTACGCCTGCAGAGAACAGATCATGCTCTGTGTTATGGTCAGTTGGCGATCGAGAACGTTACGCACTGGCAGATCATTAGATCAATCGTTCCTAGTCTCATTTCATATGGAAGGTGTTCGTGAAGCAATGGATTGTTTATTTTCTTGTCGTCCATCTCTCGCTGTGGTCTCAGCGGCCCACGCCAGGTAAGAGAGAGAGATGTTAGACATGAACACTTTAAAGACAGCCTCTTGGCCAAGGTCAACACACATTAACATTTATGTTGTTGGGTGTCAACAGGAAACACATCAGATTATTGGCAGCAGCAAATGAAATATTAATGATTCTCATCTCATTGGAAAAACAATAGCACAGCTGCTTCCTCGTATGAAACTGAATACTAACGCTCAGCACTAAGTATTGGTTTACTAAAACATTCATATGATGCTCTACTGAATACAAGTTCTACTAAGGGCCGTAGCACAGGGGCCCTTCCTGCCCACAATAACACAAACACATGTATTCTAGAAGCACCTTATGTTTGTGCTAACATGGAAGCTAATTTGAGGTTAACTTAAACACTGAACCTGAAGCCTTCATTAAAAAATGAAGTTCTGTTATTATTTACTCGCCTTCATGTCATTCCGCACATACAGGATATGATTTTTTTTCTTCTGTGAAACAGAAAATTAGATGTTTTGAATAATGTCCAAGCTGCTCTTTTCCATGAATGTTGAATTGGGGACAAATACTCGAAAAATTATAACATATGAGTTTTGATATTGGCAGAGTACTTCTGCTTTTTGTCCATCCCCCATCACATTCACTGTATGGAAAATAGCAGCATGAACATTGTTCAAAACATCTACTTTTGTGATTCAAAGAGGAAACGAAGACTTTGAATTTGGAATGACATGAAGGTGAAAAAATGACCAATAAACAAACAAACAACATGACTTAAAATTACTTTAGCATTATTTCAGCACTAAAATGATTTTAATACAAATGATTTAATAACTTAATATACTAAAATACCCAAAAATCGTTTAAAGCCAATTAGAAATCAAACAAGGCCAATTTTACTTTGCATATATTTTATTATTATTTATGTATTAAAAATTATTGTATTATTTTATTTCATAATTTCATAAAAATTAACATTATTATTCATTATTATTAATAATATAATTCATAAATGTCCCTGGGCTTATTGCACTCAATTTATCAGCAAAAAACTGATGACATGACTTTTCAGAGCGAGGGAAAAATACAATTAACCAAAAATATCATAACCTGACAGTCATAGACAGCCAATCAGATGCAGATGAAACCCATACATTATTTCTGGCTGAATATTCCGCATCACATTGCAGAAGCTTCATGCTTATGTCTAATGTCTTTTTGAATAACACACAGTACACACACCTGTTTGCGGCTCTTGCAGCTCTTCAGAGATCTCAGACTCATCAGATTGAGAGCTGGTGGTGATCAGCTGACCCTCAGAGAAATGAGACTCTTCCTCGTCCTCTTCCTCGCTGACTGCAGTGGCCTGTCCTGCATCCATCACTATGATGGTCTGAGGAGCACAGGGTGACATTGTTTATTCCTGAACTCTTTGTCCTTGTAAATGTCAGTTTGTTTAGCGTACCTTAGGCACAGGGGTTACAGCTGATCTCGTCTCTTTATTCCTATCATCAGAGGCTGTAGTCTGCTCCATCTTGAGATCATTAATACACACAAAATACATACTCAAAACACCATATACACCAAATGGTACGGGTTAATACTCAGGTTATTTAAAACCTAAATTTGAGTACTAGTAATAGTGATGCTTGATTTTTCAAACATTACTAATGAAACTTTTACCTGTTTTTCAAGCTCAGTGACGTCCACAAAAGACACTCTTTTAGCAGCTGATTTTGGAAGGGTTCGCTGTCTGGGTTTGGGCAATGGAGTCTAGAATGAAGAGCAAGAAAAAGAATATATTCTACAATGACGAAACCAGAAAAAGCATTCAACATTGATTTATGTATGGCCCTGGATGCTAATTGGTCGATACAATGCTCCAACTGTGCTAAAACACCCAATAGTTTTTATAATAATAAAAAACACCCGTTCACCACCTACAGCGCGTAGTGACCCATAGTGGGCAATTATTATCAATATATTATACACTGTATTATATGCTATATCATCTTTTATGCATTCAATTACAGCACATTTAAACAGTCAGCCAGAATGAAAGCGATAGGATTTGGGCATGGCATCACCTCAGAAACAGTGGGCTGAGGTATTAGCGGAGGGTCTTTGGCCATCCGTTGTGTCTCTGTCTCTGTTTTCTCCTTGTCTTGTGATGTCTGTCTCTCTGTTTTCTCCTTGTCTTGGGATGTCTGTCTCTCTGTTTTCTCCTTGTCTTGGGATGTCTGTCTCTCTGTTTTCTCCTTGTCTTGTGATGTCTGTCTCTCTGTTTTCTCCTTGTCTTGTGATGTCTGTCTCTCTGTTTTCTCCTTGTCTTGTGATGTCTGTCTCTCTGTTTTCTCCTTGTCTTGGGATGTCTGTCTCTCTGTTTTCTCCTTGTCTTGTGATGTCTGTCTGTCTGTTTTCTCCTTGTCTTGTGATGTCTGTCTCTCTGTTTTCTCCTTGTCTTGTGATGTCTGTCTCTCTGTTTTCTCCTTGTCTTGGGATGTCTGTCTCTCTGTTTTCTCCTTGTCTTGGGATGTCTGTCTCTCTGTTTTCTCCTTGTCTTGGGATGTCTGTCTCTCTGTTTTCTCCTTGTCTTGTGATGTCTGTCTCTCTGTTTTCTCCTTGTCTTGGGATGTCTGTCTCTCTGTTTTCTCCTTGTCTTGGGATGTCTGTCTCTCTGTTTTCTCCTTGTCTTGTGATGTCTGTCTCTCTGTTTTCTCCTTGTCTTGTGATGTCTGTCTCTCTGTTTTCTCCTTGTCTTGGGATGTCTGTCTCTCTGTTTTCTCCTTGTCTTGGGATGTCTGTCTGTCTGTTTTCTCCTTGTCTTGGGATGTCTGTCTCTCTGGTGTCGTCCTGCTGGTGACCTTGGTCTGATGTGTGGTGAGAGCTGATGATGATGGAGAGAGGTACGTGAACTTCCATTTCAGTGTCACACTGATTTGGCCACTGGGGAGTCCAGCAGGGTCTGTAAGCTCAAACATACCTTAAAAAGATACAAAAATGACACAAAAAAGTAATATTAAAAGGTATATATATGCTGAAAAATAAATAAATAAAACTCTTAATCAGCATTCTTGCAATATTTTCCTGCACAAAAAATATATATAAACATCTCTAAAGTTTAAAAATTCTTTCAATTCTACATTTAAAGTCCCTCTGTGGTGAAAATGAAGTTTTTAATGTTGTTTTTACGTCTATGTGGTGTTTTTAATATGCTTTAAGACAAACCATGTGTAAATTCAAAGGTCAACACTATACGAGATACGAGGGTCCGTGGAAAAAGCGTAACGGCTAACGTGGATAACATGTGCCTTGATAACCAATCACATTACAGCATTGTCGTCACTGAAGTTGCGTGACAGTCAATCACTGTTTGCGGATACCATAGAAATAAATAGGAAGTGCCATAAAACTCAATCCTACCGGTCGCACAATTGTCCGTGACTTCTCTTATAAAAAAAATGTTTTTGGTGTAAACTCTAAAAAAAGAATGTTTAAGAGCAAAAATGTTGAAGATTGATTCATTCATTAAATGATAAGCCGTTTTCCCACAAAAGCGGTTTATTCAGTGTAGTGAAGCCTCTCCTCCATTGACATCCATTAAAATAAAAATCTGCCTCTGGTCTCCTTCCCTGCGTACCGCAGCGTTACACTATTTTTTGCTTTAAAGAGGCTTTGCTAGAAACTTCTAGGCAAGTGTGTTGGCGCTGGTTGGAGCTAAACTCTGCAGGACACTGGACCTCCGGGAGCATGGTATGAAACCCTTGGTTTAGGAGTAAACTAGTATATAAATGATCGTAATGCTCACTAACAAGACCTAAAAGCTCTTTAACTTCTGAAAATCAATCAAATTCATTCTATGTAAAACGATATCATTATGACTATTGTTAGTCCTCACCAGTGATGGTGTCATCGTGTGCCAGCGAGATGAGCGGTACTCTGGCCTTCCCCAGATACAGCTGGTTCTCATCATCTAGATCATCAAACACATACAACACCAGAGCCTCTGACCTGAGAAACGCATCAAGGTCAGAGTTCATGGCCACTGGGAAGACCGTGTGATCTTCAAACTGTGGCTCATTGGTGGAGGATATGATTGGTGTATCATGGTCAGGGAAGTCGTAGAGTTTGTAGATGACGTAGGGGCTGGGTTGAGTGTGAGGAGCTCTGGATTTGAGATTACAGCATAAGTGCACGGTGACGTTTAGTTCATTTAGATCACCATGTATCAATGATGAGGAACTGGCGACAGGAACCGATAAAGCCTGAAAAATAAAGTAAAAAGATCAAGTCATTTTGGTATGTGTAAAAGTAGAAAACAAGGAAACCGGTGAATAAACAGTACCTGGCTGTCTCTCGCGCTTGTGTTGAGGTAACCAAGCGCTTTGACTCTCTCCTTATAAAGGCGAATGGCTTGTTCCATAGGAACTCTCAGTTTGAGCCAGTACTCCAGTGTACCAAACACCTGGATCGCATCTGTAACACCTACAAACAGATGGAGAGCACTTTTTGATAGTTGTATGGTGCTTTTTGATCATTTCAATCACTTTCCACTTTCATTCACTCTTAAAAATAAAGGTTCCAAAAGCTAGTTTCCACAGTGACGCCATAGAAGAACCATTTTAGGTTCTCCAAAGAACATTTCAGTGAATAGTTCTTAAAATAACACTTTTTTTTCTCTTAGTGTTAAGAACATCTTAATAACCAGAAGAACCTTCTTCGACTGTAAAGAACCTTTTATGCATTGAAAAGTTTCCATGAACGTTAAGGTTCTTCAAGGAACCATAAATGTCAATAAAGAACCTTTATTTTTGTGTTGTTTGAAAGGGAGCAGCTTGGGCATTCTGCTAAACTTCGCTTTTCTGTGCTCCTTAAAAGAAAGAAAGTAACCGGGGTGTACAAACCTGCTCCTGTAGGGCCACTGTCCTGCAGAGTCCGGCTCCAACTTTCCTCAACACACATTTCTAGTAAGGCCTTGATTAGCTGGTTCAGGTGTGTTTAATTGGGGTTGGAGATAAACTCTGCAGGACAGTGGCCCTCCAGTAGCAGGATTGAACACGAGTGTCAAAAACAGTAGGGCAGCACGAAATCACCTGAAATCGTGATTTGGCTTAGTGTGATTATGAAATGTTTAATTCATTTTTAATTAAGTAAATATATGCACAGCATGTTAGTGAAGAGTGGCTCTGTGATCAATAGTAAATGCTGCTCGTCCTTTGAAAGCACTGCGAGTATGAGAGTTTTCAATCGCAAATCGTAATTTTAACCATAAAAAAAATCAAATAAATCGCAATATTTTACCAAATCGTGGAGCCCTAAAAAATGGCGAGTACATTTTCAGTTTTGCGCCAACATTTCCTTAGATGTCAACAGACAGTCTAAAGACTCACCAACTAACTGAATGGTGCCGAACACCTTCCCATCTCGTTCCAGCAGTTGATTTAACCTGAGCTGACCAGCGGCCACCGTGCGGAAACTCAGCCCCTCGGCGAGCTGCACCTCCACGGTAACAGAGCTGGAGTGGAGATAGTTCAAAAAGAGCTCATTCACTCTCACCAGGTATTGAGAAGTGAAGCTGTACGCTGGACGGGCACCTCGCACCACAGCCGTGGACTGCAGCTCAAAGTCGTAGAAGGCATATGTGCAGAAGGTGGACGGATCTCTGTCCTTTAGACCCTCTACAGCTTCAGGAGCGAACTGCGCTCTCCCCAAGTGGATTTCCAGAAGGTTCTCGCCTCGAGCCAAGTGGAGGGGTCCGTCAAACTCATCTGTGACGTCATCGCTGGGGACATCAGGTCGGAAAACATGGGTCTTGGTTCCATACGCAATGTCTTTCAGCTGGGCTGGAGGGACACAGGAAGAATTCGTTTTACTAAGCACAACCGTTAGCTTGGGAAACATTGGGAATCGGAAGATCATGTTTTGGATGCAGCTAAACCTTCAAGTTTCTTTATCTTGGCCGCTCTCATGTCCAGAAGCCGAGCCAGCTTCTCCGTCTTCAATTCATATTCAAGTTTCAGATCGTCCATCGTGCGAGTGACCACTTCAACTTCAGCCTATAACAACATAGATGTTTAAATGCATTAGCCTTATGCGACCAATATCTGTATATGGAGAAGTTAACATGAAATGAAGTTTGCAACCCAGTGTTGCTGATTCGAGTCCATGTCCAGACCGAGACCTTAATAGGTCGAGTCAGAGTCAAGACAGATCCCAGAAGAGGGTCATGTCCGAGTCCAAATGCTCCCAAGTCCATGACAAGACCGAGACCCTGAAAATATGTTCTTGAGCTCAGACTCGAGACGGACTCTACAACACTGCTCCATAATGTGCTGTATTTTCAAGAGATGAAATGTAGGGCATGACCTATTTATCCACTGGGAATCGATTTAATTGTGAAAAGTGGGCGTTCCACACCAAAATTGAGTCTAATTTGGAGCTAAATGTGACTTTGCAGTTGATAGTGCACCTACTTTTGAGGAGGCTGCACAAAGACATGGAGGCTGAAGGTCAATTTAATCCTCAAGTGCATCTTGACATATTGCCAATGGTAACGCTTCTTTCAAATCTATTGTTATTTTCTATTATTTCTGAAAGAATTATTACATTAACGTTAATCAGCAACAACAGCATTGTGTTAATCCAGTAAAGAGGATCGATTTTGATTTCATGTTAACTTCAGGATAAAAGATAGTGATAGTCAGAGGTTTCTCTATAAGGTCTGTTGTCTCAGTGTAAGGATTGATCAAACCTGATAGTCTTTATTGATCTTGTGTTGGATGATGAGCATGTTCCTGGTCTTCTCCAGCTCTTGAATGGTCTCAGCATGAGTGGCCTGCATTTCCCTCAGAGATCGTTCCACGTCCACTTTCACATCTTCTTCCACCTTCTCCAGGAAGCCAAGCTCTCCACTCTTCTGACTCCTACGAGTCTAAATGGGCATTAAGACAGAAAATCAAGACAGAGAAAAACAATGACAATTTCTAAACAAAGATTAAGCTTAGCAGTACACACTACTGTTCAAAAGTTTGGGGTGGGTATGATTTTTTTTATGTTTTTGAAAGAATTATCTTTCAAAAATTATCGGGGGCCAAGCACAAAGAACACGATAAGTCATGCCGATTGATTTAATGGTTTATCACTTTTGACCAATAGGTGGCGCTGTTACCAAATCGATGCATTGTTGTCAGTGCGAGGTGACATTGACACATGCACAGTTTGGTGTCAATATGCCAAAACATTGCAAATATACAAATATAATATGCCATCAAATTCGTTGCTGCGGTATACAAAAACAATTTGGTGTATCGACACAAAATCCATAATTTTTTTACCGGCATGGTCTGAAGATGATATAATCAGATTTTTGTGAAAATTGGACAACCGGTCTAGGAGGAGATCGAAAAAGTAGGTTTTGAAAGAAAATCAAAATGGTGGACAGGAAGTTTGGCCGACTATGGCAAAATCGGTATCTATGGTCTCGGCATGACCCACAAGGTTATAATGACCACAAGGTGGCACTGCCCCGGAACCTTTTGAGTACCTTAAGGGCATGGTTCCAAAGAAACATATCGAGTTTCATAACGATACGCTAAAGCGTTATCAAATATAAAATTTTATGTCAAAATTCAAAATGGCCGACGCCCAAAATGGCCGATATAGGAAAATTGGGCATCGTTCGAATTGGCATGCTGCACTCAATCTAAATGTCCATTTTTCTCCTGACCACAAGGTGGCACTGTGCAGTTAACCTCAGGTCATGGTTGCCATAACACACACCAAGTTTGGTCAGAATACGCTAAAGCGTTACAGAGATATAGCCTCATGTTCATTTTGGCGGGCACTTCGTCGAATTCGTTCGCATGTTGTTTAGAGAACGGCTTGACGAATCAACTTGAATTCCATAACTTTTTGCCAGCATGGTCTGAAGATGATCTTAGCAATGGCCGAGGAGTTGTTCGAAAAAGTAGGTTATTTGGTCAATTCAAAACGGAAGAAAAAATTTCATGATGGAAAATGACGTCATATGGTCAATCGCCAAGGAATCAGAGGAAAAAATAATTTAATTTCTAGAAATTTGTTTCTAGTTTCTACGGTTCAAAAGTCATTAGCATAAACGTAAGTGCAACTTTGGACAGATGGTGGCGCTAGAGCGATTGATCAGTGTGTCAAATGTCATAACTTTCCCACAAGTGGTTGTATGGGCTAGCATAGACTTGCAGAGCGGATGAATGCTAACGATTACAATACTTTTGGTGCTTAATTAGTTTGGTAGTTTCAAATGTACAGTATTTACCTTTATAAGCATCAGGGCTTCACTGAGTTCAGCTGCATCTATTTCACTTTCCTTTAGGGAAAAGTATCAGATTCAGGCATCAAATAAAACAATTTGTATTGTTTTCAAGTTCCTTTTTTTGTTTGTTTTTAAATATATTAGACTTTACCTTGGTAAAGAACTTCATGCGATCTTTAATTTCATCCATTTGTTGTTTCTGCTCCAGGTAACGCAGTTGAAGTTGCTTGTTTTCTTGCATCAGTTTCTCATTTACATCTTCAGTGAAATTAAAGCAACAATGAGTGGACACACAGCGGCCGTGTGAAGCGCCTGCAGTCATGTGTGCGGTTACCTCTCTCTGCCTTGATCTTGTCCAGGATCAGGTTTTTATCGGTGAGGTCCGACGTTAAAGCCGTCTCCAGCTGGACGAGCTGCAGTTTGAGCTGCTGTTCTCGAATCCTCCATTTCTGCTCCTGACTCACATCAAACGCACTATTGCAAACGGCAAAACCCAATTCAGTGATGTGCAGCTCAGAGCAGAGCGCTCCCGCACAGTGATAGGGATTTGTTTCAATTCTTAATGTATGAGCCATTATAACAGTGATACGTTAGCAAACACCACTAGTGAGTATTATTACTCCTTTATCTTTTCACCTTTTCACAAATTTATCACAGTTTTCCTTGAGCAAGTCTCTCTCCTTTTCCAAATCTTGGATTCTCTCTTGTAACTGAAGAAAGACACAAAAAAACAAATCAATTGGTAAACTTTGAAAACATTTTCGATATCTTAAAAAAAGAGAATATATATATATATATATATATATATATATATATATATATATATATATATAGGTGGAAAAACACAACATCAAATCACCGAAATTACACATTTATTATACAATTATAAATATACTACTTATATTGCAGTCATCCATTATTCACTGCACTGCTGTCTGCTGCAATGCTCAACTATAGTGTGTGTGTGTGTGTGTGTGTGTGTGTGTGTGTGTGTGTGAGAGTGAGTGTGTGTGTGTGAGAGTGTGTGAGTGTGTGAGTGTGTGAGTGTGTGTGTGTGTGTGTGTGTGTGTGTGTGTGTGTGTGTGTGTGTGTGTGTGTGTGTGTGTGTGTGTGTGTGTGTGTGTGTGTGTGTGTGTGTGTGTGTGTGTGTGTGTGTGTGTGTGAGAGTGAGTGTGTGTGTGTGAGAGAGTGTGTGTGTGTGTCAGCTGCACCTCTTGCGCGTGTCTCTGGTCTAGAACTCTGCTCTGCATCTGCGTCTCCAGCTGTAAACTCCTCATCCTCTCCTCCTTCATCTGTCGACTCACTTCCTCCACCCTCAGCAGCGCTGCATCATGACTGGCCTTCAGAGTCCTCATGCTCTACAGAAACACACAGCGCCTGCTACTGACTTGAGCACCAGCAGAGGGCACTCCCGGCGCTCGAACCGCAGGAGGCCACATGGCAGATCGATCAATGATAACATGAAACATTAGCTTTAATGGTTGAATTTTAAATATAACCATTTGATAAAAATGTTAAAAAACACATTTCAAAATATATTTTATATATGTTTTTTATATGAATATATATGTTTTTAGCCAAATATGCATGTGCGTATGTATTTATTGATTGATTGATTTAAATTTAGGACATTTTATTATTTATTATTATTTATTTACTAAATATGAAATTACATCATTACAATTGCTACGTTCTTTTCTCATAATGATGGCATAGTGTGTCACAATTTAAACTTTTTATGTCATAATTACAATTTACAAAAGCGTGATTTGTTTTTAGAAGTGGCAGAAATTGGTCTTTAATACACACAGAGGATACATTTAATTGTTAAAATATATTTTTTATTTTAATATATGTTAAAATGTAAAGGTGAATGTCCAGCATCATTACTCCAGTCTTCAGTGTCACATGATCCTTCAGAAATCACTCTAATATGATGATCTGATGCTCAAGAAACATTTATGATTATTATCAATGAAAACAGTTGTGCTGTTTAATGTTTTGTGGAAACCGTGATACATTTTTTTCAGAATTCTTTGATGAATATAGTTAAAAAGAAAAGCATTTATTTGTTGTAGCAATATAAATATCTTTAGTTTACTGTAAATTTGTCAATTCTTTCATAATTGAATGCATCCTTGCTGAATAAAAGCAAGATTTTTTTTTTTATCCTACTGACCCCAAACTATTGAAGTCGTGTGCATACACATGCTAACACGCAATGAGTGTCAGAATATATAGAGGCGCAAAGAATCCGGGAAAAAGCAGGGAACATACTCCGCAACTATAATAACAGATATATTATCAGCCAATCACAGTAGATGTCTGACAGCAGGGTCCCTGACGGTCCCTCGTACCTCCTGTTGCTGAAGGAATCGGCTCTCCAGCACTGTGAGTGCGTTTCCTTTCTCAGATAACAGCTTTTGCAGTTTGATCATCTCTACATTATCCTTTATAGTTAACCTGTAAAACACGATTTACAATGATATATTATTATATTGATATTCTGTCATGAGATATGAGATGAAGTGCAGTGTTCGTGAAGAGAGAACAGCACCTCTGTCCACCGGCCTGATGCTCTCTCATCTGCAGGAGCGACTCCTCTACCTCTCTCTCTCTCCTCTTCAGCTGATCTCTCAACGCCTCCGCTGATCTCTCCATCTCCTCCAGCTGAGCCTGCTGGATCTCAGTCACACTCTCCCTGCGGTCACGGAAAACAGCGGGTGTGTGTGACTCTCTTTCGTTAGCGTGTGTGGGTCTGTCAACAGACTGTGCTTCACTCACAGGTTGCGGATCTCAGCGCGGGCCTCGTCCAGAAGACTGTGTCCGTAGCGGGGCAACAGACCCTGGGGGGGTTTCGCACTCAGTTCCCCTTCAACATGCCTGACACCTTTGAATAAAACAAAAAAATATATATAAAAAAAAATAATAAAACACAAAACACCCAATTTTTTGTAGCATACTTTAAATATAAGGCATTTATCATGTTCTCCAGTAGCTCTGTTTTTACATATATACTAGGAAATACTCACAGGATCCTTTAAGAATAGCTGTAGAATTGATCAAAATATTCTCACCCTCAACCAAACGATTATTGAATTAAAATAGAATAGGATATAACATAACATATTACAGAAGAGAAAATAGTAGAATTAAAATAGTACACAGGATATAAATTGCGAATAGAATAGAATAGAATAGGGCAGTAAATATCACAATCTGCCATCTATGGGTAGATAGATAGATGACAATAGAACACAGAATAAAACATAGTGGAGAACAAAATAGAATATAGAACAAAACAAATATAAATATGTAACACAGAATGGAAAAAATTTAATAACAGAATAGAAGATAGATATAAAATAGAATACCCAATAGAAGGTATTAGTTTAATACAGTGTAGAATAGAATGGGATACAAAATATGGCAGAAATAGACTACAAAATATAACATAGATAATACAATAGAATATAGTAAAGAACAGAACAGAATACAGAACAGAATCTGAATTGCAGTATAGAACAGAAAAAAATAGATTGTGGAATATAGATTACAGCATGTGGTGTAATGGAATAGACTATAACAACATGACAGAATAAAATGTAGAATAGGTGAGAATGAAATAGCCTACACATTAGACTGTGGAATAGAATAGAACAGAATAGAATAGAATATGCATAAGAGAACAGAGTAGATAACTGAATAGAACATAATTATAAAATGTACTGCAAAATAGAACAGAACAGATATATACAGTATATCAATAGATATCATAGAATAAAATAGAATAGAACCAAATAGGACTGAATAGAACAAAATAGAACATAACAGAATGGAATATGCATAACAGAAAAGAGTATATTTCAAAATAGAACATCATATAAAATGAACTGCAGAATAAAACAGAACAAAGATATAGTATAGAAGAATAGAACAGAATAGAACAGAACAGAATAAAACAGAACAGAATAAAACAGAACAGAATAAAACAGAACAGAATAGAACAAAATGAATAGAATAAAACAGAACGAATAGAATAGAATAGAATAGAATAGACCAGAACAGAACAGAAGAGAACAGAATGAATAGACCAGACCAGAATAGATTAGAATAGAACAGAAGAGAACAGAACAGAACAGAATGAATAGACCAGAATGGATTAGAATAGAAGAGAAGAGAACAGAACAGAAGAGAACAGAACAGAATGAATAGACCAGAATAGATTAGAATAGAAGAGAAGAGAACAGAACAGAAGAGAACAGAACAGAATGAATAGACCAGAATAGATTAGAATAGAAGAGAAGAGAACAGAACAGAAGAGAACAGAACAGAATGAATAGACCAGAATAGATTAGAATAGAAGAGAAGAGAACAGAACAGAACAGAAGAGAACAGAACAGAATGAATAGACCAGAATAGATTAGAATAGAAGAGAAGAGAACAGAACAGAAGAGAACAGACCAGAATAGATTAGAATAGAATAAAACAGAACAGAATAAAACAGAACAGAATAAAACAGACAGAATAAAACAGAAAAGAATAGAACAAAATGAATAGAATAAAACAGAACGAATAGAATAGAATAGAATAGACCAGAACAGAACAGAACAGAAGAGAACAGAACAGAATAGAACAGAAGAGAACAGAACAGAATAGAACAGAATGAATAGACCAGACCAGAATAGATTAGAATAGAACAGAACGAATAGACCAGACCAGAATAGAACAGAATGAATAGACCAGACCAGAATAGATTAGAATAGAACAGAACGAATAGACCAGACCAGAACAGAACAGAAGAGAACAGAACAGAATAGAACAGAATGAATAGACCAGACCAGAATAGATTAGAATAGAACAGAACGAATAGACCAGACCAGAATAGATTAGAATAGAATAAAACAGAACAGAATAAAACAGAACAGAATAAAACAGACAGAATAAAACAGAACAGAATTGAACAAAATGAATAGAATAAAACAGAACGAATAGAATAGAATAGAATAGACCAGAACAGAACAGAACAGAAGAGAACAGAACAGAACAGAAGAGAACAGAATGAATAGACCAGACCAGAATAGATTAGAATAGAACAGAATGAATAGACCAGACCAGAATAGATTAGAATAGAAGAGAACAGAACAAAACAGAACAGAACAGAAGAGAACAGAATGAATAGACCAGACCAGAATAGATTAGAATAGAACAGAATGAATAGACCAGACCAGAATAGATTAGAATAGAACAGAAGAGAACAGAACAGAATGAATAGACCAGATAGATTAGAATAGAACAGAACAGAACAGAACGAATAGACCAGACCAGAATAGATTAGAATAGAATAAAACAGAACAGAATAAAACAGAACAGAATTAAACAGACAGAATAAAACAGAACAGAATAGAACAAAATGAATAGAATAAAACAGAACGAATAGAATAGAATAGAATAGAATAGAATAGACCAGAACAGAACAGAACAGAAGAGAACAGAACAGAATGAATAGACCAGAATAGATTAGAATAGAATAGAATAGAATAGACCAGAACAGAACAGAACAGAACAGAACAGAAGAGAACAGAACAGAACAGAAGAGAACAGAATGAATAGACCAGACCAGAATAGATTAGAATAGAACAGAAGAGAACAGAACAGAATGAATAGATCAGAATAGATTAGAATAGAATAGAATAGAATAGAATAGACCAGAACAGAAGTACCTGCTCTGGGAGTGTGTGGGCGTGCTGGGCTCAGGGGTCTGCGCAGGCCAGAGTTGATGCGAGGCTGGATGTGGCTGTAGGGAGTGTGTCGGCGGGTTTGGACCTGCAGCTGCTGTTTGGTGGCCAGCAGACGCCGTCTCAGCCCTTCGTTCTGTTTCTCCAGATCCTGAACCTTCTCCTGCATCTCCTCCATCATCTCCTCCATCTCAACATCTCGCCCGCCCGCGCTCTCGCGCTGCTTACGGTCCTTCACCAGACGGATCAACTTCGTGGCCATCCTGAAACATTTCGAAATGTATTATATTGTTCTTGTTATGTTGTTTCCAATCCATTTTTCCAAAGAATAAATCTAAGCCCATTAAAATGCATATTTAGAATTGAATGATTGAGCGAACCTGCGGATCTTGTCTTCTTGTTTGCATGCGTGTTGTTTGAGTGTGAGGTTTTCATCCTGCAGCCGTAAAAACTTGTCCTCCAGCTCTTCCCTGCTGAACTTGGACACGTTCTGCCTCTCTCTGACATTCTGGGACAGTACAGACTCTAAAAACAAGCAGGACGCTTTCATTTAATTGCCATTCTCTGCAATGAATATTAATAAACAGTTATAATAATACTTTTGTTTTAACGGTGACCTGGTAATGTAGCTGCGCCATGTGTGCTGACAGTGATGTCTTTCACAGGAATATCACCAGCTGTTTCATCAGCACGGGAAAACATCATTCAGTCTGAAATCAAAGCAAATATACACTTGAAAAAAATTGCAAATATGAATTATAGTAAATTACTTAATTGTTAAACCTTAACTTGACGTGGGCTACAGAAGAATATAACGGTATCACCATGTTAATTTAGGACATGGCATTATTTTAAGTTAAATATTACCACATATAAATATTGTAATCATTTACAAAGCACCATGACATTTCCATCTGATATTGGTAACGTTATACTTGATACTTGCATTGCAATCTGATATATATGTTTTCTAACAGTACTTTTTGAAACGGTTATCTAAGTCACAGAAAACACATAATGTTACGATAGACGAACTTATAGACACACAGCGTACTTCAAAGCTTCATAAAATACAAATATTTTAACCCAAATATCATCTCACCGATTCAAAAGCATCACACACAAACCACAGCGACAGTTGCTAACAAACAACTCATCCACTTCCGCTTTAAAGGACTCCACTTCCGCAACTGCCATTATGGGAAATGGTGTTTTTACGGCGTGAAGTTTTCGCGTGCCTAGAATAAACTGCGCTCAAAAACAGCTGTTGAATTTCCATTTAAATGTTGCTGGGTTTTTTAAGTAAAAAAGTAACAATTCGTCCGCTGCACGACAATATACCATATGAATCTTGAATGTTTGACTGTCAGAGCAAATCTTCCTCTGGATAGCAGTTTACAGTGCAAATAATGAAGTATTAAAAAAACTTAACACAGCAAAGGTCTAATTTACTTCTTGAACTGTATTAAAATGCCATCTAAAACCTTAAATACAGGCTGACATACTCGTAAAACAGTATTTTTCGATGAGTTAAGTCATTGTGTATATAAGTCAGAAAGTGGGCGGGACCTCCACTTCCGTGTGACGGGCACTACGTACAGAACTGGAATTCGCTTATATAGTTACGTCAAAAACTATGCGTAACTCTTCGTTTCGAGCGTGTCGACACGCACTCAGCGTAACTCAAATACAGCAGGAGTGAGCTGTCAGTCAAAGGACATTTAAATGGCTACACTCTGCAGAACTGTACAGTCGCTCGCGCTGTCATGAAATAACTTCATTCTTATTTCACTCCTGGTCATTTATTTGCGGTTTGCTTTTCTGCGTTTCTTGTATTGCAAATAGAGATTCAAATCACTCGTATACATCTACGCACGAAAAGCCACCAAAAATGAGCGAGGAGGAAGACACATTGGTGAAAACTAGACATGCATTTGAAGATCTGTGTCGAGCACTGAATATGGATGAGGAGTCGAGTAACAGTGCATGGAGGAGTTATGAAAATATCAGCAAAAATTACACTCTGGAGGTAAAGTGAACTCATTATATGCAGGCCCACTGCACACATTTAGATCCGTAAATATGCATGCGTTCAATAGTATTCGTGTGAATTGACATGTTAACCTGTTATTCTTATGTTTAATGTATGAAGTGTGCGCTTTAAACTTGTCAAAGAGTGTTTACATGTGTTTAAATATGCGTGAATGTGCATGAGTGCAGAATGCGCGTGAGGGGGTGAGATCTGTGTGACATCATCAAGGCTTTATCTGAATGAACACCTTTGCAGCGAGACGCTTTCAACACTGTGTGTGTAGGATACAGTGAGGACAAGTTGTGCTTTTGCTTGTTTTAAGGCTGATACATATCAATGAATCTCCACCACTAATGTCCCCAGTGTCACCTTATTGTGCTTGTGGAGAAAAACATTTCAGCATTGGTACTGTGCCATGCAGCATGATAGAATCAAATGGTAAAAGCATAATTTTCTGTCATAAACCATGGTATATTCTTGGCACCCCAGAATACAATGGTATTTTCATGATACAGATCCAACAGGAAAGGTTGTCTAAAAAATAACCTCCTAGCAACATTCCTGGAACGTTATAATTTGATTCCGCAAAAAAATAACCAAACGGGAACTAAATACTAACATTAGGGGAACGTTCTGTGTTTATTGAATAGCTGTTTTACTGGAGTGGCAAAATATACACACTTGAATTCAGTGAATTGTTGTCTCTGTGTCTCAGGGCAGTGACCTGCACTGGTTGGCGTGTGCGCTGTATGTGGCCTGCAGGTCTTCAGTGCCCACTATAGGCAAAGGCACAGCGGAGGGCAACTACGTATCGCTGACCAGGATCCTGCGCTCCTCACAGCAGAGGTCTGTATCATCCTGACTAATTCTGACTTATAGATGAAGCTAAAGACATACAAAAGCCACAGCTGAACAGTGTTGCGTGCACGCACACACACACACACACACACACACACACACACACACACACACACACACACACACACACACACACACACACACACACACACACATGTTGTGATGTTCCCAAGACAACTTAAGATCAGCTGGGGATTTAGAGAGCAGCATTTCTTCTTGCAATGAGCTTCTAGCTTCTTATAGTTTATAAGCCAAAGAGACTAGATTAGAGTTGTGCAATCGTATAAAATGATCATAGTAACTAAAAAATAATTTCTATTTAAGGTATTTAAGGTATTTTATATGATCTTGATAATAATAACTATATACAGTATATGTATGAGTAAATCTAGCAATAACTCAAAACCTTATTTCATTCCATAATTAGCTAAAATTGATAAATAAAATATATATAAAATTAAATACAACGAAGCCTCTTGTGACATTATTTTCATGGTAATCACATGCCCCTGGCCTCCAAATTCACATTACTGTTAAAAAGATAGAAATAGTATAGTTTAGAATAGCGTAGTATAGTACAGTGTAGTGTAGTGTAGTATAGTACAGTTCAGTACAGTGTAGTATAAAACCAAACCAATCTCTGTTACCTTAAATTATATGAAGTTTATCTCTGTAAAGCTGCTTTGAAACAATCTACATTGTTAAAAGCGCTATATAAATGAAGATGACTTGACTAATATAGTATAGTACAGTGCAGTACAGTACAGTATAGTACCATACAGTCTAGTGTGGTAAAGTACAGTAATGTATAGTACAGTACAGTATAGTATAGTACAGTATAGTACAGTACAGTATAGTATAGTATTGTACAGTATAGTACAGTACAGTGTAGTATATTACAGTATAGAATAGTACAGTACAGTATAGTACAGTATAGTATAGTACAGTATAGTACAGTACAGTATAGTACAGTATAGTACAGTATAGTATAGTACAGTATAGTATATTACAGTATAGTACAGTATAGTATAGTACAGTATAGTATAGTACAGTATAGTATAGTACAGTACAGTATAGTACAGTACAGTACAGTATAGTACAGTATAGTATAGTATAGTACAGTATAGTATATTACAGTATAGTACAGTATAGTACAGTATAGTATAGTATGGTACAGTATAGTACAGTACAACATAGTATAGTACAGTATAGTACAGTATAGTATAGTATAGTACAGTATAGTACAGTACAACATAGTATAGTACAGTATAGTACAGTACAGTACAGTATAGTACAGTATAGTATATTATAGTACAGTATAGTACAGTACAACATAGTATAGTACAGTACAGTATAGTACAGTATAGTACAGTATAGTATATTGTTGTACAGTATTGTATAGTACAGTATAGTACAGTGTAGTATATTACAGTATAGTATAGTACAGTATAGTACAGTGTAGTATATTATTGTACAGTATTGTATAGTACAGTATAGTACAGTGTAGTATATTACAGTATAGTATAGTACAGTACAGGGTAATATATTGAAGTGTAGTGTATTACAGTATAGTACAGTACAGCGTAGTATATTACAACACAGTATAGTACAGTATAGCAGAGTACTATATAGTATAGTATAGTATAGTACAGTATAATATATTGCAGTATAGTAGAGTACAGTATAGTACAGTATAGTACAGTATAGTATAGTATAGTATAGTACAGTATAGTACAGTGTAGTATATTAGAGTATAGTACAGTATAGTATAGTACAGTATAGTACAGTATAGTACAGTATAGTAAAGTACAGTATAGTATAGTACAGTGTAGTGTATTACAGTATAGTACAGTATAGTATAGTACAGTATAGTACAGTGTAGTATATTACAGTATAGTACAGTATAGTATAGTACAGTATAGTATTGTACAGTATAATATATTGCAGTATAGTAGAGTACTATATAGTATAGTACAGTATAGTACAGTACAGTGTAGTATATTACAGTATAGTACAGTACAGTATAGTACAGTATAGTACAGTGCAGTATAGTATAGTACAGTATAGTACAGTATAGTAAAGTACAGTATAGTATACAGTGTAGTATATTACAGTATAGTACAGTATAGTATAGTACAGTATAGTACAGTATAGTAAAGTATAGTATAGTATAGTACAGTGTAGTGTATTACAGTATAGTACAGTATAGTACAGTATAGTATAGTACAGTATAGTACAGTATAGTATAGTACTATATAGTATAGTACAGTACAGCGTAGTATATTACAGTACAGTACAGCATAGTATAGTACAGTACAGTATAGTATATTACAGTATAGTATAGTACAGTATAGTATAGTGCAGTATAGTATAGTACTATATAGTATAGTACAGTACAGCGTAGTATATTACAGTACAGTACAGTATAGTAAAGTACAGTATAGTATAGTGCAGTATAGTATAGTACAGTATAGTACAGTATAGTAAAGTACAGTATAGTATACAGTGTAGTATATTACAGTATATTACAGTATAGTATAGTACAGTATAGTACAGTATAGTAAAGTACAGTATAGTATAGTACAGTGTAGTGTATTACAGTATAGTACAGTATAGTATAGTACAGTGTAGTGCAGTATAGTATAGTACAGTATAGTACAGTACAGTATAGTACGGTATAGTACAGTATAGTATAGTACTATATAGTATAGTACAGTACAGCGTAGTATATTACAGTACAGCATAGTATAGTACAGTACAGTATAATATATTACAGTATAGTATAGTACAGTATAGTATAGTACAGTAAACTATAGTATAGTACAGTATAGTGGAGTACAGTATAGTACAGTACAGTACATCACAGTATAGTACAGCAGAGTATAGTACAGTATAGTAGACTACAGTACAGTATATCACAGTATAGTACAGTACACTATAGTACAGTACAGTATAGTGTCGTGTCGTGTCGACAGTTTGTCATATATGTAACGTACAATCTGTTTACCACTACACACACTCTGATTAGGGGCTCTTTTATCTGATCTGCCATATGTGGAGTGGATCTTTTAAAAGAATGATAAGAATCATATTATTTTTTGCAGACATCCATGTAATATTCTCAGTTAGTAGTTAGGTTGTGCAGTTAGTAACATACTTGACAGAACTTTTGCAGACATGAGAGAAATAAAAAGAAAAAGAAATATACATTTAAAATCAATTAAAAAAAATAATTCAAAGCATTTATATTTTAGAAATAAATTTAACAAATGTTGAATTTTTTAAAATACATAATGAGTCTGAACTCAAGACTTGCTCACTTCACAAACAGACACCCCAAAAACCTGCTATTTAGGGGACATCAAGGCAATTTCAAGAAAACTGACAAATATTTGTGTGAAATGTACCCTAAATTGAATCAGATGCAACGAGGACTTATTAAAATAAAGTGTTTTCACAATGTCTCACTCTCATTATATTTGGATATGAGTATTATTGTAATGAATGTTGTAATGTAATGTATTCTAAAGTTGTAATAACGTCCTCATACCTTTCAGCCTGATCGAGTTTTTCAATAAAATGAAGAAATGGCAGGACATGGCCAACCTGCCCATCGAGTTCCAGCAGAGCACAGAGAAACTGGAGAGGAACTTCACCGTCACGTCTGTCATCTTCAAGAAATATGTGCCCTTATTCAAAGACATCTTCAAGGCGCCCACAGATGAATTACCCAGAGTGCACAGAGGCAGGAAACAGAGGTACTTGAACCTGAACTCTCCACTGCATTTTATAGTGAACCACGTGATAAATAACCTCAGGTTAGGTCCCTACTGTAGTTCACAGATAATGTGCAAACAATCAGTTATTTCTGCATGTGGATCAGATTTGTTGTGCTGACTGACACTTCCTGTGTCCTCAGACGACATCCCTGCACCGTCACTGAGGTGTTCAATTTCTGCTGGATCCTGTTCATACATGCGAAAGGTAAAGAATTACCAAACACAATGTTCATTTAAAGGGCCATATTCTACATGTTTCCCCGATGTCGATTTTGAACATAAAGTCAACGCTGCATTTATTTGAATTTTCAGCATCATTCCTCCAGTCTTCAGTGTCACATGACATGATCCTTCAGAAATCATTCTAATATGATGATTTGATGATAAAGAAATATTTATAATAGAAAGTTCAAAAGAACAGAAGGGTGACATTGGAGAAACTAGACATACAGTTTCTGAAGAAAGCATGAGTGTTGCTTGCCGTGGCAAAACTCCAGCACTAGGTAGTTACTAGGGTATTTTGTGTAACTCCCAAATCGTTGCATTGTTCTGATGCTGAGAAATGGTGTCTTTATGTTGCTATATAGTTGCTAGGGTGCTCTAAATGGCTGCTAGGATGTGGCTACACAGTTCCTATGGTGATACTTACAGACTGGTTTCCAACCAAAACAAAAGAGCCAATCCCGTGTCTCTATGATGTTGTGGTGCTGAGATATGGCTTATTTATGCTGCGGTACGGTTGCTAGGGTGCTGTAAATAGTTGCTAGGGTGTGACCAGACAGTTACCAGTGTGAAACTAATAGACTGGATGTCTGCCCGAATCAAAAGAGCCAATCCTGTGTCTCTATGATGTTGTGGTGCTGAGATATGGCATATTCATGCTGCGGTACGGTTGCTAGGGTGCTGTAAATAGTTGCTAGGGTGTGACCAGACAGTTACCAGTGTAAAACTAATAGACTGGATGTCTGCCCGAATCAAAAGAGCCAATCCTGTGTCTCTATGATGTTGTGGTGCTGAGATATGGCGTATTCATGCTGCGGTACGGTTGCTAGGGTGCTGTAAATAGTTGCTATGGTGTGACCAGACAGTTACCAGTGTGAAACTAATAGACTGGATGTCTGCCCGAATCAAAAGAGCCAATCATGTGTCTCTATGACATGTTTGTGTCTGAAATCGCATACTGACTGAGTAGGTACTACGTTTGAATTTACTTCACGACCATTAAAAAAGTAGTTCTATATAGTGTGAATATGTGTGTATGAATGTAATTCAGATGTACTACAGCCGCCATGTTGTTACTGTCACATGACCTCCCAGCGTCAGTTGCGTCGCTTCACGGCCATTCACAAACCCCCTCCCGTGGCCTCATGGGACAGTAAAGTGTCCATCAAATGCACACTTCAGAATCTAGCTACTGTTTTTCGAATACTATGTATTGGTACCATATACTGTGGGCGTACTGTAGTGTCCGTGACGACACCCGGTGGCTTCTGAAGAGCATTTTTGAAGCCCAAAGTGGGCGGAGCCGGCCGTCGCCATCTTGGCAGCGCGTCACTCCAGGATCACTGAAAATGGGCAAAGAGGCGTGACGTGGCTCCGGTGCCTGGTTTAATATTGTCTATGGTAATCACAGGCCTATTTCCTATACATATTTTAGGACATGTCATCAATTAAAACAAATACTTCCAAGTCTGTGTTAGTAAATGTTACGCTATTTCTGAAATGCAGGCGTAACATTATATGAAAACGTTTCATACTGTTTTATACAGTCTATGGCGTATAAATTATAAAGTTATAATTATGGGTATTTTCCGTACACAAGTGCATGGCTTCGCCTCAGAAGGCCTTTATTACCCCCGGAGCCTGTGGAGTATTTTTATCATGGATGGATGCACTTTTTGGGGCTTCAAATTTTCTCGAGCCATTCACTCTCATTATAAAGCTTGGAAGAGCCAGGACATTTATTAATATAACTCTGATTGTATTCGTCACCAAGAAGAAAGTCATACACACCTAGGATGACCTCAGGGTGAGTAAATCATGGGCTAATTTTCATTTTTGGGTGAACTAACCCTTTAAAGGTGCTCTATGTAACTTTTAGCGGCCTCTAGTGGTGATGTTTCAGATTGCAACCAAATTTTACAAGAGCGCTCGTGCTCGAACTCATAGACAATACCGTCTATTACGCAAATATCTCGGCGAATACTTGACGGATTCGGCGAGCACCGAGCTCGTTGGGACCATCTAGTCGAGCTGAAAAGAACCATATAAGTTCCATAGTTTTTGGTGGTGTTTTCGCGGAGATATTAGCAGAAAACCATCGGGCGCGCTGCAAAATTGCGGACGCCGGTGACGTCACGATCTCAGAAGAAAATCGCTCGTATCTCTGGAACGCAAAGACCCAGAGAGCTCAAATTCGGGGGAGGAGGTCCCAGGGGAACCCTTGCCCGAACGCTAGAGTGGCGGGCCTAACGGATCGCCGTTCGCTGGGACCCCCGATTTCGAACGGCTATAACTCGGGGAGCCGGGCGAGTTGGACCTCGGGGGTGGGCTCGTTCGAAAGGCCCCGTCCAGCACTACGAACGATTAGAGTCTTGGGAATATTGATCAAAGATTGACTGAGATATAAGCCGAAAAACGTGCGCCTTTAACCGGACGTAACTCCCTGACTGTCTACAATAGACTGTATATAAGAAGAGAGGCTCGGAAGCGCGCATGCGTTGGATTTCGCGGTAAATCCGACCCGGAGACTTCACATAGATCAGGAATACTGGCCTTCAGAGGTAATAGCTAAACTCGACAAGTGGATAATTTTAATGTGTGATTACAACCCCTTCACACACAGGCAATAAAAAAAGGATTCATTTTAGTAGAAAAGTTACATAGAGCACCTTTAATATAATTAAAACGGATGAGTTTTTAATAAAAAAAAAATCACAGTTGTCATGAAGGCCAAAATTAGCAATATAGACCAAAACTACTTTTTGTATCATGCTGTAAAGGTTTTTTTTTTGTTCTGCTGTAAAGTTGGGCATTTTAACATGGGGGTCTATGGGATTGACTCTCTTCTGGAGCCTGTCTCTAGAGGCCAGTCGATGAATTGCAGTTTAAGTCACTTCCGTGTTGGGTTCAAGAGAGACCGGAAAGTTGCCGCTTGATTCGGACATACTTCTCTTACTATATAATAGGGAAGTATTTGATTTGAATAAAAAATTCCTATGCAAATTACCATAGTAGGAAAAACACACGGTTGCACACAGCTCTTGCGGCCCAGGGTTCAACTCATACACAGCTTGCCAGCCTCTTCAAATGTCTAACACATGTTTCTACAAATCCCGCTCTCGCCCCTGTCGCTCGGAGCTATGACCCAATATTTGTCCCAATGTGAAAGTTATGGGATTTCCCCCCATGATGCGATCGCTTATAAAAGTCGCAGCACACCTCTTCTCAATAATCTGCGTGATTTGACACCTCAGTAACGGGTCTACGACAAACGGTGCGGGCCAAGGCTATGTCCAGAAGACATAAAAAGAGAACAGTAGCGATACTTTCTCTCGCTACAAGCAAAAGCGAGAAGAAGAGGAAATCTGCGGCTGTAGTCTGACAGATGGTGTGTGCTCTATGAGGTGCCCCTAGGGACATTATTCAGAATTACCTTGCATATACATGTACTTTTCCTCTCACATACACATATAAAACCAAATTCATTCACATACTATAATGAAATTCTCACACACATAGGCCTACAAGTGAAATGCTTTGACAACCACAACTGAAACGCTCTCATACATACAACTGAAAATATTACGCTCACACACACACACAACTGAAACGCTCACACACACACAACTGAAACGCTCACACACATACAACTGAAAATATTATGCTCACACACATAACTGAAACACTCACACACAACTGAAATGCTTTTACAAACACAACTGAAACGCTCACATACATACAACTGAAAATATTACGCTCACACACACAACTGAAATGCTTTTACAAACACAACTGAAACGCTCACATACATACAACTGAAAATATTACGCTCACACACACAACTGAAACGCTCAGACACACACAACTGAAATGCTCACACACATACAAGTGAAATGCTCTCACACACACAAGTGAAATGCTCACACACACACAAGTGAAATGCTTTTACAAACATAACTGAAACGCTCTCACTCACACAACTGAAAATCATTTCAGTATGTTATATGCAAGCATTTCAGTATGTTGTATGAAAGCATTTCAGTATGTTGTATGAAAGCATTTCAGTTGAAAGGGAAGGTGGTTAGAGTCCCCGCCCACTCCAGCAGGGTTGCCAGATGCCAAGGTTTTCCATCACAAAACCTCGCCGAGAATGCACAAAAAACCGCCCAAATTTGTTTTGGCTTGTTTCTCGTTTAAACACAGTGAAATCATTACCAAACTTCAAAATTACCCATGCTCCCTGTACTTTTGCGTCCATTCGTTTTCCCCTTTTTAACCCGTGATTGAAAAACGAAAAATGGTTGTTGTAGGTGTCACAGGCCGGAGTGGCCGACCCACCACCACCTCTAATAGGTGTGTCACCTCGAGGAGCAAACCAGTGAAAAGGCGGGACAACAAGGGTAAAGGAATAAAAATATTTGCTTTATTAAGTTAAGAACAAGAATATTAAAAGTCAATCCGCGTATCTTCTCTAGGCTTCGAATAACGGGTAGTAGTTCCTCTTCAATGGTTACTGGACTCTGGGCAGATGGCTGCTCAGACAGCAAAGCTTCACAGTGGAACAACAAGGGCCAGGTAGGTGGCGGGTAATAACAACTCCTCTTCGGTGGATACTGGGCTCGGGGCAAATGGCCACTCAGACAGCGGAGCTTCACAGTGGAGCAACGAGGGCCAGGTAGGTGGCGGATAACGTACGACAACTCCTCTTTGGTGGATACTGGACTCTGGGCAGATGGCCACTCGGACAGAGCTACACAACGGAACAGCGTGGACCAGGTGGGGTCTCGAGCGACGGAACTTCACAGTGCAGTGGAGCAGCAAGGGCCAGGTAGGTGGCGGGTAATGTATAACAACTCCTCTTCGGTAGATACTAGACTCTGGGCAGATAGCTACTCAGACCAAGCTTCACAACGGAACAGCCAGAGCTTCACCGTGCAGTGGAGGAGCAAAGGCCAGGTAGGTGGCGGGTAATGTATAACAACT